AATGTGTTAATAAATCAAGGTTATTTATAGTCTTGTTTAATGATATTTGCTTTCATAGTACCCCATTTAAACATAACCATTCAACTGATGTCTTTACTTTAAACTAGAGTTTTTTTGATAGACAGCAATATCCTTTGAGTAAAACTAACATCTCCAAATGTTCTTCTCCTATTACAATTTTACATTGAAGGGTACAACACATTTGCCCACCAGCAACTACAGGGCATCTTGAATATGATGCCACAAGGTTGGCACACCTGTCTTTGGGAATTTTTGCTTATTCCTCTTTGCATTACCTCTGAAGCTCAATCAGGTTGGACGGGAAGAGATGGTGTACAGCCATTTTCAGATCTCTCCAGAGATGTTCAATAGGATTTAGGTCTGGGCTCTGGCTGGGCCACTCAAGGTCATTCACCAAGTTGTTGTGAAGCCACTCCATTGATATTTTGGCAGTGTGCTCTGGGTCATTGTCTTTCTGGAAGATGAACCGTCGTCCCAGTCTGAAGTCAAGAGCTCTCTGAAGCGGGTTTTCATTCAGGATGTCTCTGTACATTGCTGCATTCATCTTTTCCTCTATCCTGACTAGTCTGCCAGTTCCTGCTGCTGAAAAACATCCCCACAGCATGATGCTGCCGTCCCCATGCTTCACTGTAGGGATGGTGTTAGCCTGGTAATTAGCACTGCCTGTTTTTTTTTCCAAATGTATTGTAAAATTCAACTCCAAAGAGTTCAATTTTAGTCTCATGAGACAAGAGAAGTTACATCTGGTCTGAGAGTCCTTCAGGTGCCTTTTGGCAAATTCCAGGCTCACTTTGGATTCTGTCTGGCCATTCTACCATAAAGGCCTGGGTGGTGGATTGCTGCACAGATGGTTGTCCTTCTTTAAGGTTCTGCTCTGTCCACAGAAGAACGCTGGAGCTCAGACAGGGTGACCATCGGGTTATAGATCACTTCCCTGATTAAGGGCACACTCACACTATGTTATGCGAACCGTGCCCAGGCCCGTTTCCCAGATCATTTGAGAAGTGTGAGTGCTCTGAATCGGGCTCAGGCAAGGTTCACTTGGCCAGCCCTGGCCTGGTTGGAAGAGGTGTGCCCGAATGTAATGTAAGTGCAGGCTGTCGGGGAAGAAGCGTGCTTTGGCCAGTTCAAGACAACTGTACATAGTGTAAGTACGCCCTAAAGCCCTTCTCTCCTGATCACTCAGTTTAGGTGGCTGGCCAGCTCTAGGAAGAGTCCTGGTGGTTCCAAACATCTTTTACTTACGGATGATGGAGGCCGCTGTGATCATTGGAACTTTCAGAACAGCAGAAATTTTTCTGTAACCTTCCCCAGCCTTGTGCCTCGAGACAATCCTGTCTCGGAGGTCTAAAGACAATTCCTTTGTCTTCATTCTTGGTTTGTGCATTGACATGCACTGTCAGAATTTTGAGAAAATTAATGAATTTAATCCATTTTGCAATAAAGCTGTCACATAAAAAATGTGGAAAAAGTAAAATACTATGAACACTTTCCGAATGCACTGTATAGTTGCTGCATATTAAAATACAATTTTTTTTTAACTAAAATTAATGCAAAACATGTTCATATAGGACACTATTAACAAGGCTACATTCATAATACCATTTTTTAAAGATTTAAGCAAACATCCTGTAGATTAAGAAGCTTTAAAGCCCTTCACTTCTTTGTTGTGAACTTATACCAAGGTAAAAAGACAACTAGAAATCACAGTAAAAAAAAAAAAAAAAAAAAAAACATTGCAGAATTCAAAAGTGTTTATTTAGTTTGACCGGGTTCTAGCATTACCATCATATACATTTTTCCCCAGTCGTAACTTGCAATTACATATTTATATAATATAATATAATATACTATGTGAATACACAAATTGTAAGCATAAAAAAAAATACAAATACAAAAACATTTTATAGAATAATAAGTATAGGAACAGCAGTGACCAAAGTGGAGCAAAAGACGTTTCAGTTTGCTTCTGCCCATTTTCAAAATACGTTTTGCAGATTGCACGCTTAAAATTTAAAACAAAAGAAAATAATAATCCAATGCAGGATATCAGACGCCTGCTTCAAGAATACAAACAAAACAACTGGTGCCCATCAGAAACGAGTTCATGTAAACGGGCAACTGAAATGTAAAAAACATGGCTGACCGAGTCCAGCAGATGTAACGGAGATGATAAACGAAGATCTCCACCAAAATCTGCGGATGCAGACGACATGTATAACATAAATAATAATAAAAAAAAGCTAATTTAAGGGCTTCGGCACCCGACACAGTGATGACCAGCAGTCTCCAGTGTCACGGCCTGGACGTCAGCAGTGAACGGTGGGCATTTTCAGTGCGGGACGTCATGCACTGTGGAGCCTCAATTTCACCTTTCAGAAACAGCGAGCAACTTAACGCTCTGACTGATGCCGATCTCTAGCTGCTAAGACACAAGGTTGACAGTAACTAACTAGGTAAATCGAAGAAGATATGTAAACATACAAGTCTTGAAACCAAACTAGAATGTGGCGTCACATAAGTCAAGGTAAGTAAACGTGTAGTATTATTGTTTATAAAACACTAACCATGTAAACTCTGCCTTGATCAGGCAATATTACGAGATTTGAATCTCGGCAAAAAATTATAGCTTTAATTCCACTAGTAAAAGCCCTTTGTGTGTGTGTGTGTGTGTGTGTGTGTGTGTGTGTGAGAGAGAGAGGATTAGGAAAAATAACATGCGCTGAATATGATGCTCTTTAGATTATATACAAGATGTTGATCAGATATGCTTGTAGCCTAGCAAAAGTGATGTGTTATTTCCCTGACCACAATTCCAAATCAATTCAGATCTTGTGGAGGTTCATTAAAGGCAACATTGTCAAAAATAAAATGGTTTTTCTCTTGTTAAATAAACAACCGGACAATGTATACGTGGAATAAACGTTCAACTTTTAAAAAGCTAAACCGATGCAATGCAAAATCGTTGTTAAATGTGTCACTCCTCTAAAAGTTTTCAGTCTCCGTCTCAAAGCGTCAACGCGATAAGCCCTACAACACTACTGATTAACAGTCGCTGTCATGTAAATAAAGCATTGTTCTCAATGGTATTGCCGTAACAAATTAAACTCAATGTCGTTGTGGCCATGCCTTGCCTTAAAGGAAGTTTCGCCCCCAAAAATGCTGTCGATTCACTCATCCTCAGCGCAATTTTAATTCCTTCAGTAGAACATTAAAGGAGATTTGTAGCTGAAACAGTGGTGTTTGGAGATTTGCGTTACGTAATTCAACTCCTCTCTCTTTGAGAGTCTAAAAAGTAGGCAGAACAAAACAGCGTCAGTGCATATGTAATTATGAAGGGGTGTAACAATACACAAATTGATACTGAACTTTTAGTTTGGTATGAATTACAAACAGAATTATAAAAGAGTCTGAAGTGTGTGAAATGAATGCACATGACAGTCGCATTATTCGTCTTGAACCATTCGCTTTTGGTTTGTTATGAATTACAAAGCAAAGAGTTAACCCTTTTTTTTTTTAATCGAAAGATAAAAAAAGTCTAAAGTGTGTAAAACAAATGTAGATGACAATCCCACAATTGTCCGCATCAAATGAGCGCTGTGTTTTTGAGACGCCATTAGAGGTTTTTACATGCAGTGGAGCTCATCAATGACAGTTCCAAAGCAGTGAACCAATCAGAAATACTCAGAGGCGGGGCAAGTTTTGTGAGCTCCTGTTTACGTTGCAAGTCGGTGTCGTTGACTGTTTTTTTTTTTTTTTTTGAATGCCATCATGGAGGAAAAGCATTTCCAAGCAATGTGTCATGTGCTTTTAGACACAAAGATGTGTTCTGTGTGAATGGCCCCTTACACTATTCCTTCCCAAGCCCGTTTCCCAGACAGACCGTAATTCCTGACTGTCTTATTCTTTCACGCACGAGTGGTTGCTGCCATTGGAACTTTATTGCCTCGAGTCTTTCGGTCTCATTTACTTCTATTTATTTTTAGCCGTAGAACAGCTCATTATGCTGTTTGATGTTGCCATCTTGTATTGTCTTATATTTAAACTCTTTTTGTACTTTCATAAACAGTTGTTTGTAGAGCAAGCACTTTGAGCTTTTATTACTCCTAGTAATTTTTTCCCATAGGGTAAATGAAGTGAAAGGTCTAAAACAAAAAGCCAAGAAGTTGTCCCACTGCAGGCGACATTATCACATCAAGCAGATCTGTGTAAAAACACACGAATATAGTAATAATATAGTCAAATCCATATTTTATTTTTTTAAAAAGTGTTATTTTCTTTGTATTTGATTTTTATTTATTACTATAAAATAAAATAAAATAAAGAGCTGTTTATAAGCTGCTGAGAAAGTACAAAATAAGGTCATGATTAATGATCTTAGTTTTAATAAAAAAATGCTGCCAAAAAATTAAACATTAAGGAAATCAGCGTCTTTTTGCTTTATCAAAAAAACATGCTAAACGCTGATTGATCCTTCCGCGTGAAGCGCATGCTCTGGCGCAGAGCATCGAACAAGAACAAGATGTCACATCGAACAAGACCGTGAATTTTGTGAACTGTTACACCCCTGCCTATTACTTTCATTCATTAGCTTTCCTTCAGCTTAGTCCCTTGTTTATCAGCAAAATTAATCAATTCCGGCATATGTTTTACAAAGCGGATGTCCTTCCAGCTGCAACCCAGTACTGGGAAACACACATTCATACACTTCAGTCAATTTAGTTTATTCAATTCATCTATAGCGCATGTCTTTGGACTGTGGGGAAAACCGAAACACCCGGAGGAAACCCACAGGAACACTGGGAGAACATGCAAACTCCACACAGAAATGCCAACTGACCCAGTGGGGGGACATCAGAGACCATCTCGCTGTAAGGTGACAGTGCTAACCACTGAGCCACCATGCCACCTTTGCTTATTACAGATTAAAGATAACAATGCTGTAAATAATAATGTTCAGCTTCTTCTTCTTTTCGTTCTTTTTTTTTTGCTTAATGACTTTAACTTTGTTTTATCTGCATCCTGTTTTTAGGACCGTGCATTGTATTTCTCACAAAGGACCAGTTTCAGCTGTTCTTCTTCAGTGATCTACAGAACATCAACAAAATGTCTTCAGGTCATGGAATGACACGAGGATGATTAAATGAAGCGGCGAAACAACCCGTGAATGCTCTCCAATTAACCAAAACCATCTGTTGCAAATTGAACACGTTTCATTAGTCAACAGTGTCAGGTGTTTTGTTTTTCAACCCTTCCCCCACAAAAAAAAAAGGCATTTAAAATAGTTCCAGTTTAAGCAGAGTCCATGTGGAATGAACACGTGGGGATGGAAGACAAACATTTTCTGTTCTCATCAGCCAATTCAAGGCAGCAACAGTCAAACCTCACCAAACGGGAGGAAGCTTTGAGGCAAACTGTTGAAGACTGTTCACCCTTCTGGCATAACTAACACTATGCAATAGAAGGAAAAAAAGATCAGTCTTATCTGTTATTACCAACATGCCAAAACAAATCTTTGCTATAAAAACCCACCAACCCCTCACCAGTACACGCAAGCCACTATTTATAAAGAAATCTCAAAATACTTTTTTTTTCTTTCTTTTCTTTTCTTTTTTTTAAACTCAACTCTCATAATTACGATTTTAAACGATGAGGTTTAACTTTCCGGCATACTATACATTTGTAAATATTTTCCTTTTTTTCGGACAAAATTGCTCATTGGACCACAAACGGCATGATAAACATTTTGTGAAAGCCGATAAAGAGACCCTGAGTAAACATGATTGGACCAGACGTGATTGAGCCTTACTAAATGACATGCATATTCCTACCTTCCAGACAAAAATAACGTTTCGGAAACGATCCGCCAATGTCAAGAAATAAACAGTCCGGTCAAGCTGTGCAGGCACAAACAAGTGTCATTTCATCTAAAACAAAACAAAACAGAACATCCATTCCAAATAGGTTGTCATTCCGCTTGACTTGAATATTCTCTCTCAGTGTGATATGGTGGTGGGTTGTTGTTTTTTTTTTTTTTTTTGCCCGGCAACTGCAGGAGATCCCGAGGCCATAAAACACGAGCTGTTTCACATTCGAGAGCCTTGTTCTTGAAGAATCTGCAAGACAGAAACAACTGTTAATGGATGGGATGGGTAAAAGTCAGGATGGCAGGATAAAATAGAAGCTACTCAATTATTCAATACAGGATTTATAATTCAGCACTAAAGAGACATAATTGGTTGTGAGTGAACTTGCAGATGTTCACTGAAGTATCTCCATAGTATCTGTTATAATTGTTCATGAAATAGTTTTATAATCGCTACATAAATAATGCTGCATATATAAAAAGCTATTATTATTTATCTGATTTAATTGCATAAATCACACATAGATCTATGGAATAAATTGTAAGATGCATGGAAATTGCTCTGAATTTATTAGGTATGGATTAGAGTTAAATCATACTGTTTTTTTTTTTTTTTTTTTTACAATTAATGGTCTTGTAATATAAAACATAAATGAAAATATTCAGAGATTTTTTCCTCCAGAAAAACTGATTTCTTAACATCACAGTGTGGTCTAAAATGAATATAAACCTTTCTGAAAACATGGCATACTTTTTTTGTTTGTTTTATGAAATGAACTGCTCAAATTGACATTCCCATTTAAATTAAAATAAATAGTAGTTTAGATAAAGCAAAACGTATGTTTTTAACAAAACACACAACTATTAAAAAAAGATGTAAATAATTGTTTTTATAAATGTTTTATATACACTAACCGGCCACTTTATTAGGTACACATTATTATTACCAAGTTTGTCCTCCTTTTGCCTTTAGAACTGCCTTAGAAGTTGATCACATCGAACGCGCCTTATGCGCTGAGGGGCGTTTTTCTTGAATGGTTTACTAACGGCCGTGAGCGTTTTGCGCACTGCTTATGCATCCCTGCGCACCTTGCGTTTAAAGCGTCTGCTGTGGCTAAAGTTTTTACCCTTATGCACCGTGCACTCGCAGTTAAAAAAGTCAACTGAGCGAAAAGAGTGTGTTACGTGTCTTGCGTCTTTTTTTTCTCCAATTAAATGAAAGCAAAGGCGGGATTTCCGTTAAGGTTCCTGCAATGTTTGTATTGTCAAGATGACTACGGAGACTTTTGAAGATGAAGAAGAGACTTCTTCATAAAAAATCGTGTTTGGTGTGATCAGCCCTTAAATCCTTTGTGGCACAGATTCAACAAGGTACTGGAAATATTCCTCAGAGATTTTGGTCCATATTGACATAATAGCATCAAACAGTTGCTGCAGATTTGTTGGTCTGCACATCCATGATGTGAATCTCTTGTTCCACCACTTCCCAAAGGTGCTCAATTGTATTGAGATCTGGTGACCATAGAGGCCATTTGAGTACAGTGAACTTATTGTCATGTTCAAGAGACCAGTCTGAGATGATTCGCGCTTTATGATATGGTGCATTATCCTGCTGTAAGTAGCCATCAGAAGATAGTACACTGTGGTCATAAAGGGATGGACATAGTCAGCAACAATACTCAGGTAGGCTGTGGCATTGGCACTATGCTTAATTGGTATTAATGGGCCCAAACTGTGCCAAGAAAATATCAGCCACACCATTACATCACTACCACCAGCCTGAACTGTTGATGCAAGGCAGGATGGATCCATGCTTTCATGTTGTTGATGCCAAATTTTGACCCAACCATCTGAATGTTGCAGAAGAAATCAAGACTCATCAGACCAGACAACATTTTTCCAATCTTTTAACGTCCAATTTTGGTGAGCCTGAGTGAATTTTAGCCTCAGTGTCTTGTTCTTAGCTGACAGAGGAGTGGCACCCTGTGTGGTCTTCTTCTGCTCTTGGTTGGACGTGTTGTGCGTTCAGAGATGCTCTTCTGCATACCTCAGTTGTAATGAGTGGTTATTTGAGCAACTGTTGCCTATCTCTCAGCTGGAAGCTGTCTGGCCATTCTCCTCTGACCTCTTGCACCAACAAGGCATTTGAGCCCACAGAACTGCCACGGACTGTATATATATATTTTTTTTTTGGACAATTCTCTGTAAACCCTAGAGATGGTTGTGTGTGAAAATACCAGTAGATCAGCAGTTTCTGAAATACTCAGACCAGCCCGTCTGGCACCAACAGACATGCCATGTTTAAAGTCACTTAAATCATCTTTCTTCCCCATTCTGATGCTCGGTTTGAACTACAGCAGATCATCTTGACCATGTCTACATGCCTAAATGAATTGAGTTGCTGCCATGCAATTGGCTGATTACAAACTTGTATCAACAGGCAGTTGTACCTAATAAAGTGGCCAGTGGGTGTATATTTTACAATAAATATATTGAATATATTTGTGATCTATGATACAACAAAAATGTGTGGAAATGTGTTAGATTTATTATCTATTACAACTATTTTACCTCTCTGAAATTTACATTGTTAGAGGCATGCATGTTCCCTTAATAAAAAAAAATAAATAAATGAATATTTTAAAAATAATACTTTTATATGTGTAGCCATACGCCACTGCGGAGCACATAATAAATACTAAAACATGTACTTTTTTTATTTGTACACTAAATGACCCAGCCCTAAACGTGAGCCCTTCGCTTATATTTGGATAAGTGATTGTGTGAACTTCACAGGAAGCGCACAACAATGCCTTGATGAAATCATCCCAGCGTGTTTATTACAACACAAGCCCCTGTTGACCCGAACCTGCATTACCACCCTGTCAGAAAACTGCTGGAACAAAGTCAAACGAAGGCATTTTTGTGATTAAAACTCGTGGCTGCAGCAACTGATGAGAGCGCATTAAATATTAAGCTTTATCTACCAGTAGGAAAGCAAGCCTTCAATGAGCTGAGGCCATAAATCTAGGGCTTTCTAATATCTAGCAAGCGTCAAACTGAGAGATTCGGGTGAGAGAGAGAGAAAGAGAGAGAGAGTGCGACTCTTCAGCATTCAGCAGAGACCTAATTATCAGCTTAAGTGATATGTAAATGATGCCTCACCAAGAAAGAGAAAAAAAAAAAGAAAACATTATTTCCACATCCTCAGTGCGCATGGCATGCAGGAAAGAACAAAACATTTGATGTGGTTAATCGGCTCTCTTTGACTGCTGTTATGCCATGTGATCATGTGAAGACTGGAGCTGTGGGATTTTTATTTTTTTTCTTACGATGTGTGCGTAAGTGACTATTTCTGTGGGTGCACGAGGGAGAAGAAGAGCCTCACCTTGGCCTTTTCACTGGGCTCGCTGTTTGTGCCGTATGACTGATTGTGCAGCTCCTTGGAGACCACGCAGAGGAACTCGGCCTGATCCTCGTTTCCGTAGTTGTATGAAGAGCCGATGCTCACCAGCTGGCCAGAAGAGAGAGAGAAAGAGAGGAAAACACATGACGACAGCGTTTCAAAGTCAGCTGATTGGATGACTGTTTGTTCAGGAAATATGAACGAATCCACAATTTTTTTCAATGTTTATATATGTAGCTGTTAATCATGAGTAATTGTATTTGTAAGAAACAGAGGCCAAACACTGGATGCTCTACTTAAAGCAGGGGTGCTTAAACTATTTCTTATGAAGGGCCAAAAACCAAACTTGATTGAGGCTAGTGGGCTGAAGGTAAATATAGCTGCTATGGGTAATTTCTTAGTTTATTTAACAGTGTTTAGAAATTGACTGTATTCTTTTTTTTTTTACATCTAATAATGAACATATTACAATAAAAGCAAAACAATCAGTATTTTACAAAATCTGATTAATTTAAAACATTTGGGCTGAATGGTGGCGCAGTGGGTAGCTCGGTCACCTCACAGCAAGAAGGTCGCTGGTTCGAGCCTCAGCTAAGTCAGTTTTGACCGGTGTTGGCGTGGGTTTCCCTCAGGTGCTCAGGTTTTCCCGACAGTCCAAAGACATGCCGTACAGGTGAATTGGGTAAGCTAAATTGGCCGTAGTGTACGTGTGTGAATGGGAGTGTATGGGTGTTTTCCAGAGGTGGGTTGCAGCTGGAAGGGTATCCACTCCGTAATACATATGCTGGATAAGTTGGCGGTTTATTCCGCTGTGGCGAACCCAGATTAATAAAGGGACTAAGCCGAAAATAAAATGAATGAATGAATTTACAACATTTAATTGAAACATTTAATTTCAGTTGTTTTTTAGTAGCTCAGCAATAAAACAAACGAAAAAGGTTGCGTCAAATTAGTACTCACTTCTCCTCTCAGATGGGATGGTGGACCACATCAAAGGTTACAATGGGCCAACTTTGGCCCGCAGGCCCTACTTTGGGCATCTCTGACTTAAAGGAACTTTATTTTTTTAGAAAAATGCTCATTTTACAACTACCCAAATGGTTGAGTTTCAATATTTTTGACTCCATTCAGCCGATTTCCAGGTCTGGAGGGAGTAATTATAGCTTAGTGTAGCATAAATCACTGAATCAGATTAGAACATTAGCTACAAAATAGTTTGTTGCCAATTTGAAAATTTGACAATTTTCCTATTTAAAGGTTGACTCTTCTAGTTACGTTGGGAACTAGGAGTAACACAATTTTTTTTTTTTTTTTTTTTTACACTGATATGGCTAGGAATTATACTCTCATTCTGGCATAATATTCAAGTAACTTTCGTGTTGTACCATGGAGGTTGCATGGCACAATATTATGCAGCATCAGAAAATAGTTTCCAGCTAAGAAACAGTATATCACTGTACTGTAAGAACACTGTGCTTGGAGCAACCATGGTACTGCAGTGAATTTCCTTGATTACAACACCAAAATAAGAGTATAGTTCCTGGCCGGTCTAAATACACAAAGCCAAAACAGAAGAGCCAAGCTTTAAATATGAAAATGATCAAAACTTCTTTTTTAGAATATTTTGAGAGAGATGCTAACGGTCTAATCCGAATCAATGATTTATGCTATACTAAGCTAAGGTAAAAGTGCACTTACCACACCCAGAGATTGGCTGAATGTATATATGAAAAAATGGTAAAACTCAACTATAGGGGTCTTGTAAGATGAGCTTATTTTCAAATTAGTGGAGTGTTTCTTTAAAAACCACTGACTTCCATGCAGGACAATCTAATTCAAAACCTTCAAAATTATTTCCAAGCTGTATTTTATCACAAAATATAAAAAAATAAATAGGTCCAACTTTTTATTTAGTATATTTAACCACTTAAATACATGATAAAAATAAGACCATGAGGCACAATTTACTTTATTGTTTATGTTGCATTGCAAAACAATGTTGTATTATTGACATGGGATACAGTTTAGGTTTGATTAAGCATTATGATTAGGTTTGATTGGTTAATGGCAGTTTACATTTTGTTTTACTTTACATTATTAAACGACAATTTAATTAGACAGAGATGCTCACGGTCTAATCCGAATGCATGATTTATGCTAAGTTAAGCTAAGCTAAAACAATGCTATTACCACAGCCAGAAATTAAGACAACTTTAGGGGTCTTGTAAAATGACCTTATTTCCAAAATAGTGTTTTTTTTTTTTTTCAAACCACTGACAATCTAATTCAAAACTCTCAAAAATATTTCCAAGCTATATTTTAATTAAATTATATATATAAAAAACAAAGTTTCACTTTATATTAAGTATATTTTACCATTTAAATAAAAGATTAAAATAAGACTGTAAGCCACAATGTACTCTATGGTTTATGTTGTATTGCAAAACAATGTCGTTGTTATTGACATGGGATACAGTTTAGGTTTGATTAAGCATTATAACTAGGCTTAAGGGTACAATAAGGGTATGATTAGGGGCAGTTTTAGTGACACTGTTAAGACTATTTCGGACTTTGACTTTTTTGCTTTAAGTAACTAATCTTGTGGCAGTGTTCTAAACTTGTAAACATTACAAATTATCATTACTGTACAAGAATTTTAACAATGAAATATGCTGATTTCAGCTGATTTACAGCTTAATTTGATTATATTTTGCATTATGTTGGGTGGAATAGATGGTTTGTTAATACCAAGCACAAGACAAAATGTCAAGTACACAAGAAATATGAACAAAATCACAAATTATTCGCAATCAACATTTGGTTTGGACTAAGAGTCAGACCGTCAGAGTTTCACAAAGGTGACCATTTAACTCCACTTGAATTCTGATGCCTCGGTCTCTTTGCTGATTAGACTGAACCAGCAGACATTACTTTAAACGCCTCACTCAGCACAGGATGCTGAACCACAGACGCTTCCTCACACCTGCCACTGACTGCAGATTAACATATCTGAGCCTCGAACATCCCCATTAAACCACAAATTACAGCTTGTCCCTCGAACGCCCCAAGCGCGTTTCTGTGCCTGACCCTGCCACCGCAAGAAAACCAATATGCAAAAATAGCAAGCAAACAATGTGCATCCTGCTATTCAAATAAAAGCAATCTTGCAAAAAAGTTTCCATTGCTTTTACATGAACTTAGATGGTTAGGTGATCTAAACATGATACAGAGAGCTTTGAGTTTATTTCCATATCAGCTTCTCTGGCTGTCATGGCAAAAAAAAAAAAAAAAGTTTAGGTTTACCACATCTTAAAAATATAATTTTCCATAATTATAAAAATAAGTCATCAACAGTAATAAATAGCACATACAATAAAATACATACATACATAATAATAACAACACAAACAAAAATATTTTAAGGTTTACTTTTGATAGAAAAACTGTTAAATTTTGGAAGGATTCACATTTAAAAAACAGCATATACAATACATAAGATAAAATAGATAAATAATAATAATGAGGATGATAATAATAACAATAATATTATTTTTTTAGGTTTACTTTTGATTAAAAAAAAAAAACTTTACAACTTTGGATTGATTCATATTTAAAAAATATTTCATTTAAAGCCCCTAAAACATTATAGACTGCACTCGCTAAGCAAAAATATCGGAGTAATAACACAATAAAAGTATACATGCTGAAGTGGATAATTATAACGCATAATCATTTCTTTGTTTAATAATTATTCAGTTATTTTTGCTTAAAATAGACATACACTAATACGATTTATATATCAGTACTGATATATTGTGCACTTCAAAATACTGTGAATAAGTATTTAGTATATAAACTTTTAGTGTGCTTTTTAAATGGTCATGTTATACGTGCAATGATGTTCATAACAGTGCCACATGCTTAGAGACTTAGTTACTTTAAGCATTAACATTTTCAAATTCATTTGGCATACTAGATGCTGAAATATTGATTGATATACAGTATAGCAATAAGGTTCTGATAGTTGAACAACAACAAATACTTGTATTAATCTTAGATGATGTAAAAAAAAAAAAAAAGTTGCAATCTGATTACAAGTTATAATAATTATAATAAATGGGCTTAATAACAAAAATACATAATTTATTGAAAACTATTAAAATAATATTTTTTAAACTAATATTCACAGTAACTGTTTTACATATCTGCCTTAACTGTTTATTTAAATCCATCAACTAATCAGACTTTTCTGTAAAGTACTTTTTTGAAATACTTGATTGCTCTGATTGGTCTGTTTAATGGAGAGAAGATTTTTTCAACACATTTCTAAACATAATAGTTTTATTAATTCATTTCTAATAACTGATTTATTTTATCTTTGTCATGATGACAGTAAATAATATTTGCCTACATATTCTTCAAGACACTTCTATACAGCTTAAAGTGACATTTAAAGGCTTAACTAGGTTAATTAGGCAGGTTAGGGTAATTAGTCAAGTTATTGTATAAGTTATTGGTTTGTTCTGTAGACTATCGCAAAAAATATATAGCTTAAAGGGGCTAATAATTTTGACCTTACAATGATTTTTAAAAAATTAAAAAAAAACTTTTATTCTAGCCGAAATAAAACAAATAAGACTTTCTCCAAAGATACATACAGTAGAAGTCAGAATTATTGGTCCTCCTTTGATTTTTTTTTCTTTTTTAAATATTTCCAAAATTATGTTTAACAGGGAAAGAAAATTTTCACAGTATTTCTGATATTTTTTTTTTCTTTTGGAGAAAGTCTTATTTGTTTTATTTTGACTAGAATAAAAGTAGTTTTTCATTTTTTATGATCGATTTTAGGGTCAAAATTATTGGCCCCTTTAAGCTATTTTTTTCTGACTGTCTACAGAAGAAACCATCGTTATACAACAAATTGCCAAATTACTCTAACCTGTCTAGTTAACCTAATTAACCCTTTAAAATGTTATATTAAGCTGTATAGAAGTGTCTTGAAAAAGATCTAGTCAAATATTATTTACTGTCATCATGGCAAAGATAAAATAAATCAGTTATTAGAAAGGAGTTATTAAAACTATTATGTTTAGAAATGTATTGGAAAAATCATCTCTCCGTTAAACAGAAACTGGGGGAAAAATAAACAGGGCGCTAATAATTCAGGGGGGTTAATAATTCTGACTTCAATTATATATATATATATATATATACACGTTTTGTTATACTCGTTAATGTAACTTTCTTGCAGCTTAGGTCAAAATCATCATAACAATATATACAGAGATAAAAACTTATTAATAAAATCGCAACAAAAAAAAAATTGCATAATCAAATTTAAATTGACTAGAAAAAAAATAATATTTTAAAACAAAGGCATTTCACGACAGATATTATCATCCTACAATTGTTAACTAGATTTTATCTTCTACGCTTTCTATACACAGCATTTTAAAAGGTGCATTCGAGCGAAATGCCTGACATTCTGTCACCTTCCAGCTGCCCATGTAAGGCTACACTTGTAGACGAGCCAAATGCAGGTCAGAAGTGCATACAACTCACTCACTGCACCAGGGAAAACCCTCCTGCGCTGCTCAATTCAACACTGTATACCTTTCATTTAACAGCAAACGCCACTCACTCTAGGTTTAGCTCTGGATTCTAATTAGATGGTTGCTGTCTATACAAAGAGAAAGAAAAAGCACATTCAAAGAACAGATGCAAGCAGAATGTTTTGCAAACTGGTGAATCATAGTAAAATTAGCATCCCCAAAATTTGACTCTGTAAGTAACATCTAACCACTGAAAATAGCAGAGGCACCTACTCAAACCACTGGCTTTAGGATCACAGATGGTTAAACCGTGACATTTAAAAGGAACAGTGTATTAATTATGGCTGTTACACACTGTCTACAACTAATGACCGCAGTCTGTCCACACTGTAAGCTGAATGCCATCACACTTTGTTCACCAGCACAGAATAAATAGGTCATTATATTAAACACACAATTAATAGCTTGTATCCAAATTATATATGGTGCCTGACTGAACTACAGCTAATAAACACGAAAAGATTGAGCTAAAACTTTTAAACCCTAAAATAATTCGGTTTTTGGCTTCTTGTTAAAATTACTTTAAATGAGCTGAATCAACACAATTCTTGAATTTTTGGGGATTGCAATTATACAGGGCATCCAACTGAAAATAAGCCAATAAATATGAAAGGATATTATGTAAAATATTTCCCAGAGATTTCCAGCCGCAACCAGGGTTAGCATTCTAATATGTCAATTTACTGCTCAAAAATATGTTTTATCATCAGTGTTTAAGACTGTTGTGCTTCATTCGTTTCATGGAAGCTGATTTCCTCATCTCTATATAACACATGATCATCTATCATATGACAAACTGTGAAACAGTGTAATCCAATACTCCATTGTATTTCTAATCACCTGTTCAAACTTCCAGCCATCTGACATGGTGGAGACCATCTGAGTCAGTTCCTCCTCCTGACACTGCAGGACTCTGTAGACGTGCTTTACTGGAAGCTAAAAAAACAACAACAACAAAAAAAAAACAACTATGAAAAAGCAGCATGGCACAACTTTTCTTCTTGACAGTGCTGTAATTTAGCTGTGAAATGATTCGGGCACTCCTGCAGACCCACAGATGTCATCAGACGGAGGTGCTGAGATGGCAGATTCAGAGGACACATTTGTCATGGGATACAGCGGGAGCATTTTGACAAGACCTGGAAATGCAGTGTAAGACAAATCCCATGCAAAAGACAGATCTGCAGATCTAACAAAGACATTTTGATCATTTATTGCGTCAAATTCTACAGAAAGAACAAATGTGTAAATGTTGTCTCCTAAAGAAATAGGCAAAAAAAAAAACTACCCAATTTATGCAAAACTGGCTTTTAGGACTGGCTGTATATAACATTACCAAAAAAATATCTGTCAACCGTAACAGATTTTTCCCCCGTGTATACCGTGACATGTAAATAAGTGGGCATGGCTAACATGCAGTGTGCGTGTGCATGATGTCGCTCATCAGGAAATTGTACTAGAGTGCTAGAGTGCTCATATTAAAATCAGGTCAACTATGACTCCATTTACATGGACATCCTTATCCAAATTATTTGCCTTAATCTGAATAAGACAAGAATATGATTGAGGTGTTTACATGAGTTGCTTTTTGGATGTTCCTTTCATGATCCTGTGTTAGATGTTATAGCACACAATTCTATTAACGTCATTGCGTCACCATGCTGTCCATGTTTCACGTAATTTTGGTCGTTTCATTTTTAATTCTTCGACTTTAAAAACATTTTGCCAGTTTCACTTTCAATCAAGAACATTTTATGCATGCCCCTGTGACAAACTGAGGTACTGGTTAAGAATATGAGGTAAGGACTGATGGAAGGGTGTTGTTTTTAAATTGAATTCAAATGGCTAAAAACATAAAAAATAAAAAAATAAAAAAAAAAAAAACTGCATTTTGCAATGCGGGTATCTGTGGTCCTTCACTGACTCGATAGGTGCAGAAAATAGTGTCAAACTAGCATGTGTGTGTGAGAGTGTGTGGAATATCCTGTAACAAAATGCGACGAAAATAGTTTCATTGCGGTGTTTGCATGTCTGTACTGCACTTCAATAATGCCACTAAAAAAGACAGTCCACATGCCTCATTTCAATTTCTGATTAGTTTGATTATGACTTTATTTGGATTAAGGTAATAAAAAATTGCTGTTTACATGGTCGACTCTTAATCAGAGTATTGTCTTAATCTTAACCTTTTTGAGATGGACTGTTTTGGATTACTGACTTGAAGCTATGAATGCGAGTACAGAAAAACTGTATAAAATATTCTTTTTTATGAAATACACTAGTGTAATGCTACACTCTACTAATCTGGTTTAATTTCACTTTAAGAAGATTTCTGTTGCTTCAACTGGTGATCTGGGACCTTCAACCTTTGGCAAGGCAGGTAAAAATCTTTACCACTGGCCCAACCAGGCCACTAGAAGAAATCCTTAGCATCGATCCCTGGTAATAATGTTTCATTATTTGGATGAGCAAATTCTAAATGCAGGCAGGAATTATGCATCAACAGCATGATGAAGAAGTCTCAAGCAAAAAGTTAAGACATTTGAGACCATTCAGAATCAAGTTTTAGACTCATAAAGGGCTAGACTCAAAAGGAATTTCAAATTAGACCCATCAAAAAATATAATAATTTAATACAATACTAAAATTAATAATATAAAATCAAATATTTTACATATTTTTAAGCAAAACATCTGAAAGACTGTAAAAACAAGCAAGCTATACTTTTTATCTTTACACTGTTTTTCCAATAAACTTTTTTTAAAGTTAAAAATCAAAATGAACAAATGTTTTAAAAGTTTAAAAACTCTAATAAACTAAATCTATGCACAACAGTTTGTCCAGAGATGGATAGATTGTATGGGTGTTGGCCAGATTGGATAGCAATTCAGGAACAAAGGAAAGTTAAGACCTACAACACAATATTTCAGTAAATTAAGGATTTTAAAATTTGGATTTTATGAAACCACAGAAACCCTGTCAAGCTTAAAAGTAAAATTTTTGGCATTTTATATAATCAATATTTTATGTTAGAAATGCAAATATTTATTATGCATTATTATTATTATATTTTTTATTACAACTGATTTTAGATTTCTACATTCCTACATCAAACATTTGCCCAAAGTTAAAAAAAATAATCACATATGAAGGAGTACAAACGTGAGTATATACTTTAAAAAGTATTTTATATGTGGTCAATATTACATGATTGAATATATTATGATATATTGTTATCAGTATATGAGATGACTTTTATTGTGATATAAGATTTTTCACATCGCCCAGCAGAACATACAATTACTAAACACAAATTACAAAGGCATTACTTGAACATCTACCTAGGTGCAAACTCCAAACCAAAACGTCGTCTCTTGCAAATGTGCTTCATTCAAAACAAAGTCCAAGATAAAAAGGCAAACCCAAATAGTAACATGTAAATTAGTGAATTGTAAATTTGCTGAATTGCCAAGCCCTACTACTTAGCATCTTTTTACTGTTTATATATAGACGTGTGACCTCAACAGCGTGAAAAGAGGAAGTAACAGGAGATTTTCACTTAAAAGAAGAGCAGAGCATCATATTATTTCTCATTTGTTTGTTTAACATTATGTCAGCTTCTATAGTTATTTATTTATTTTTAATTTTTTGGGAGAAAAATCATAATACTGTTATAAATGATATTAAACTTGTACAATTTATTTTTGGGCTAAAGACCCTAAAACTGTTTTTGGATTAACAGTGTTAAAGATCACCTCAAAAGGATAAAATAAGTTAGAAAATATGGTTGAAAAAGAGTACATTTAAATAAATAAAATAAAATCATCTTACCTGAGCGGTCTTACAATCCCTCTCCCTGATTTTGTCTTTGACCAGTTTAATCAGTGAAGTGATATTGTAGAATTCAGCCTCTTCCAGCACACCTGGGGAACATTTCACTGATTAAATAATAAACCATAAACCGCATATCAGACTACAAAAACAGCTAACAAACAAGTTAAAACTGAATTTAGCCGTCAGTTAAACAACAGAAAAAATCTTAAAGCATGTCTGAACGTATCCTAAAGTTCCTGTCATACCTTCCTCTGCCAGGCCTCTGTTCAGCACCAGCTTCCCATGTCTCAAATAGTTGAGCACTGGACCAAAATAAGTGGGATCTCGGTCTATCAAATAAGCACCCGTTTCATCCTAGAAGAGAAAACAGCATTTTTAGAAACACAGTATTGACCTCTGAAGAATTTTAGCATGACAAACATCATTTATACAACTGAGGACTATGAAAGTGGAGCTTGCAGTAGGTTTGTATTTTATAAATATAACAAATACTATACGCAATAAAGCACATTCAATTATTTTAACCACGTTATTACATTGTAATATACACGCTATTACAATACAAAATACTGTTTCATATCAGTTTCTCCACAATAATGTACATCTATATAATACAGCTGTAAATAAAATACCACTACTATTATTACAGTGGGTATCGTTGAGCTATTAACAGTATTATCAATTTTATCGATACCATTTATCGGTTCGGTACTTTAACAGTTCTCTTATTGGTACTTTTTGTAGTGTTCTTTTACCGAAAATACAAAAAACTATTTGAACAGAATTAACAACACTTTACACAATCACGTTTTTATTGTAAAATAAAACAAAACCAATAATTGTAAAACAAATATATATTTTTTTTTTCTGTAAAAAAATGAAGAGAAAAAAAAACTTTCTGGAGAAAAATCAACATGTTTGCCTTTTCTGACAGAAGTCGGATCTTTCTTGGTTTATTGTGTTTCCAATCCCTGCAGTTGAAAATGCCCTCTTTGAGTTGTAAAATGCAGTTAAATGAGAATGTTTATGATTTTTCATTAACGCATTCACAAAAATGAGTTAACAGTGTTTTGAGAGTTACCCGTGTTTTAATGAAGTTTTGAAGCATCTTGCAATGTAAAAAATTTTTTCTTAATAAGCATAGTTCATTATTAGGCTATATTTGCTATAAGCATAGTTTATTATTAGGCTATATTTATGAATAATAGGCTATATTTGTAAATACAGCTGATGTAAAAACATTTTTAATGTATATACAAAATACTGTTGTCATTGTAAACAAATGTGTGTGTTTATTTAACTATTAATATCATACTAATTTAGGTGATCGACTGCTGGCATAATAATGTGGATGATGTAACACGTTAGCGTTATTAGCTAGGCAGTCAAAAACTTTTCATTAGCCGTTCTGCAGTTAATGCCTTTTTGAAAGATACTTTGTTGCAATGAGCATTGTCGCTGTCCACTCGGGATGCTACTGTAAGTAATGTTTATTCAGCAATAATTCTCCAGTATCGATAGCAGAACCGTTAACATCAAAGCTTATCGATACTTCTGTCTTTTATAATGTAGCACTGATACCTATAAAGTACAGAGTTTTGGTACCCATTCCTAACTACTAATAATATAAACTTTATTTTAAATAATTATGCCACAAATCATCTTAAATGTTTCACTGTTAACATTGAATAAAACTAAATTTGATAAAGTAAAACATTTCAAAGGGTTCCTTAAGTTAAACTAAATAAATTTCATGATCAATTAAAGGGACAGATCACAAAAAAATATATTTATAGTTTGAGTTTGTCTTCTGTTAAACAAAAAAGAAGATATCTTGAAGAATGTTGAAAACCTGCAATCACTGACATCCATAGTATCTGTATGTATATGTATATATATATATATATATATATATATATACAGCTGAAGTCAGAATTATTAGCCCTCCTGAATTATAAGTGACCCTTCTCTCCCCAATTTCTGTTTAATGGAAGTAAGATTTGTTCAACTCATTTTTAAACATAACACATTTAATAACTCATTTCTAATAAATGATTTATTTTATCTTTGCTATGATGAAAGTAAATAGTATTTTACTACATATTATTAAGATATTCCGCTTAAAATTACATTTTAAGGCTTAACTAGGTTAATAAGGAAAGTCATTGTAGAACTGTAGTTTTTTTTATATTGCTTAAGCGGATTAATAGTGATCTTAAAATGGTCAAAAAATAAATGTAAACCTTTTTTTATTCTACCCAAGACAAAACAAATTATACTTTCTCCAGAAGAAACAAATATTATAGAAAATGCGGCAAAAGAAAATCCTGAATCTGTTAAACATCATTTGGGAAAATGATTATTAAAAAGAAAAAATAACAGGAGGGCAAATAATTTTTACTTCAACTGTACATTTGTTTAGAATAATTGTGATTACAATCATGACCAAAATAATCGTTATTATGATTTTCCCATAATCGAGCAGCCCTACAGTCTTAACTAATGTTTTAAAATATTTGACCTTGTTTGGCATATTTCACCCAAAAACTAAGAATCACCTTTGATTTGTTCTAAACCAGTTTGCGAGTCTTCTGTTGCACGCAAAATAAGTTAAAGAAAGCTGAAAATCTGTAACCATTCCCATCCTTAACAAATACTATGAAAGTGAATAATTACAGGTTTCCAACATTCTTTAAAATATCTTTATTATTCTGAAACAAGTCAAAGGTGAGTAAATCAATCCATGAATCTGATTATTGTCCAATCCAGTCATATAAATGTGCTGGCAAATCACAACCACATGACTTTTTACAGTCAGCAGATTCCAGATTGACCCATACTGTTTGTTCTGTAATCTGACAAAATTAATCATGTGAAATGACATCCTCTAAACTACTTCTGTTTTACAAAATGTTTACAAATCACAAACTATTTTCTATTTGCATTCTGCTACATTATCACTGCCGTAGTCTGAGATTGAATAGAAAACAATGCGAGTAAACATTTATTATGCAGTGACAATTTTTAGAAAATTAAATATATATTTTGTTATTTTTAACCTATAGGATGAATGCAAACCTTCTGCAGCTCCAAATCTGGCTTCAATGCCTCTGGATCTTTGTTCGAAGGAATTTTCAAGTAATGGCAAACAGTGGTTGATGGATACAGAAGCGTGTCTGTTAAGAAAAGGTGTGGCTGACATTTAACATACATGCAGCAGAGCCCATAGGGACGCTGATCCATCTCCAGCACAACATCATTACCACAGATCGATACCGAGGTCAGAAAAGTCAGCTTTATTCCACAGCGTTCACGCTCGCATTAAAGCGTTCAGGAGAGCGACCTTTACAGTTAAGTCACGCAAATTCAACCTTGTGATAGGGAAATTAATTTGGAAGAAATATTTTTGGACAGAAGAAATTCTTTGTCTATTTAGCGGCTTTCAAATGTCGTTGCCCTAATAAATGATGCATAGTGACCTTTAAAAGTTTAAAGGCATGCAGGCAACCCCATTTCTTCTTGTGACACATGGAAGAAACTGAAGGATTTATTAAAAACACTGATGCTGGAGGATAATAAATAATAATAATAATAATAATAATAATAATAATAATAATAATAATAAGAAGAAGAAGAAGAAGAAGAAGAAGAAGAAAATATATATAAATATAAATATAAATATATATTTATATATATATATATATATATATATATATATATATATATATATATATATATATATATATATATATATATATATATATATATATATAACCAGTTTATTTGTGTGCTAATTGTTTTGCAGATCAATTATTATTTTTTAAAAAGATTAAGCCAATTATTGCAATTGGAAAAAATAAAAAAAGCATTCATAAGAATGACATTTACATCACAAAGAATGAAAAATAAATGTTATGAGATGAATGTAAAATATTCAGTGCTGTCAAATTATTAATCGCATACAAGATAACAGTTCGTATTTACATAATATATGCATGTGTAGTGTGTATATTTGTGTATGTATAAATACACACATGCTGTACAAAGTACAAATTAAATATATTTAAAAAAATTATACATAGTTGAAGTCAGAATTATTAGCCCCCTTTTGAATTTTTTTTTCTTTTTTAAATATTTCCTAACAGATGTTTAACAGAGCAAGGGAATTTTCACAGTACGTCTGATAATTTTTTTTTTTTCTGGAGAAAGTCTTATTTGTTTTATTTCGGCTAGAATAAAAGCAGTTTTGAATTTTTTTTAAATCCATTTTAGGGACAAAATTATTACCCCCTTTAAGCATTTTTTTTTTCAATAGTCTACAGACCAAACCATTGTTATACAATAACTTGCCTAATTACCCTAACCTGCCTAGTTAACCTAATTAACCCAGTTCAGCCTTTAAATGTCACTTTAAGCTGTATAGAAGTGTCTTGAAAAATATCTAGTCAATAATTATTTACTGTCATCATGGCAAAGATTAAATAAATCAGTTATTAGAGATGAGTTATTAAAACTATTATGTTTAAAAATGTGTTGAAAAAAATTATCTCCGTTAAACAGAAAAAAAATAAACATGGGGGCTAATAATTCAGATGCATACACAAATATTTTACACAACAGTTATGACATAGTTATAACACAGGCAGTATGCACATATATTTTATAAATCTGAACTTTTTTTTTAATGTGATTAATCATTTGACAGAACTTCAAATATTACTTTTTTGTTGGTTTGTTTACTTTATGTATTATTAAATTAAAAAGATCAAAACTTTTTTTCCTAAACATATGCTTTATGCCCACTGTTAAATTATTATGTATAAATTAGTTATTCACATTATTGCCAATTCACATCCAAAGACATGTTCATGGATGGCAAAAACCAACTACATATTACAATACAAAAATTATAAAGATAAAAAAAAGAAACCCAGCAGTCAGAAGAAATGAGCAATTATAAAAATGCAAGGACTTTCTGTAAATTTAACAATATGTGTTGCATTACATACAATTAACAATTAATACAAATTCCAGTATTTACAATCTTAATGGCAACATTATGCTGCATTGTTAGCTCATTGTTGGTACACATTATACATTTAAAAATAAAATGTTAAATAAATATGCTCATTGCTAGGTCGTATTAATTAATGGTAAAGACTTGATGTAAACTGTGACCACTATTTCAATAGTTTAGTCCGACTTGGTAACTCAAGATCCCAGTTTTTTTTAAACAGTGGGGTAAATGAAAACATGTATAAAGTATCTTTGTAATATTTTATGTTTACTCGAGCAAGCATTGGTAATGTTATCGTTTTAAAGAGTTAAGGTTTTGTTAAATCAACACTAGTGGAACTTAATCAGTTAGAACGTGACATGTACGTTACCGTTACTCCTATAAGAAACGGTATTGGAGTACGGTTATGCATTTTAACGCGAAATGCTCAAACAAGAACAAATATACATATTTGACCATATTTTTAGGTCTACAGCTAATGTTGACTTCACCCAGTAACGTTAACGTTACACCAAGTGTTATCGGTTAAGCTAAGCTAGTAAGGGGGGCTCCGTTTAATGTAACTTTATCAGCTAGCCGTTAAGCTAAAATATTCAAAAACATAAAGATAGCGAAGGGGAACACCGCAGAGCCGTCATTTCGGGTTTCCCCGGTTTAACCGAACTGCTCAGAGCCAATATAAGCGAAAAATAATGCTCATTGTCGTGCTAGTGAATCAAGCTAGTTTGAATACCTTGTCAGAGTCGAGGTCGGGGTCGGCCTGGCACAGGCGGTACAGGAAAGATTTCGGGTCTCTACACAGCGTTTGCCTCGTCGTTAGAAAGTAGGTGCCGCCGACGTTCAGACGAACCCATTTGGAAGAGCCGCTTCCGGATGGCTGCAGCCTCTCTCCGGGAGAAGGAGCGGGACACCGCCGACCGTTGGAGCCGCTCGGGTCAGGGCTCTTCTCCGCCATCCCTCCTCTGCACTCCCGCTGCCGGACTCACGGATTCACTGACTGACTGATGGAACTACAGCAAGAGCAGGAAGTGTGCTGAGTTTGAGAGCAGCTCTGCCCTCCTCCCTTTACAGACAACTGCAAGGGCGGCGTCTCAAAAACGCACTGAGCTGCCTAGGTAGACTGCACTTTTTAGAACGCATGAATGGGCATGCGCTGCGATGACTTGGACATCTAGGTAGACAGCTGGATTAGTTTTGAAGCACATTCGCCGTTTTAGAAAGACAGTTTAATACTTTTTTATGTAGCCCAAAGGAATTTTCTTTCTTTCCCGTGTTTTTCGTTCCTATTTCTGAGAAATTGTGTAATTGTGAAAATAAAAGCAGTAGACTGACAATGATTGTTGTTTTGGTCTTTAAAATAGACACATGATGTGGGGCCTCTTATGAAACAATAAATCGTATGTAAAAGTGCTGATCCTGTAAGAAAAACACCATCAAAAATTGTAATATTTTAACAATTTAAATTAACAGTAAATATAAAATTAAATATAATAAATGTTTGTTTGTTTGATTGATTGATTTATAAAGCACATTTAAAAACAACAGATGTTGACCAAAGTGCTTTACAAAACAACCAACAAACAAAATCTATATTTCTATATTTATAATTATAATCAGGGCGTCACGGAGGCGCAGTGGGTATAGCACGATTGCCTATCAGCAAGAAGACTGCTGGTTCGAGTCCCGGCTGGTTCAGTTAGCATTCATGTGTCAAGTTTGCATGTTCTCCCTGTGTTGGCGTGGGTTTCCCCCACAGTCTGAAGAAATGTGGTATAGGTGAATTGAAAAAGCTAAATTGGCTGTATAAGTGTGTGAATGCACGAGTGTATGGGTGTTTTCCAGGGTTAGGTGGTGGCTGAAAGGGCATCCGCTGTGTATAACATATATGCTAGATAAGTTGGCATTCCACTGTATCCACTGTGGCGACCCCAGATTAATAAAGGGGACTAAGCCGAAAAGAAAATGAATGAATTAATTAGTCAAAAGCAAGAAACAGAAGGTGATTTTTAAAATGAGACTTAAAAGCGCCCAAGGAAGAGCATGAACTGATATGTAAAGGTAGACCATTCCACAGACGAGGGGCAGTGACAGAAAAAGCCCTGCCACCTCTTTTTTTGAACATTTACATTTTGAAGCAGCTGCAGGCCGGCGTACAATTCAAGTAGGCAAAACTCCTAAATACAAGAGTTGCAATAGTCCAGTCTGGAACTAATAAAAAAGTTGATAATCATTTCCAACTCCTTAAAAGACAGAAAAGGCTTCAGTTAAGCAATGCTCTATAATTGATAGAAACCACTTTTGACAATTTGCTCGAGTAATATTCAGGGGCGGATTTTGTGATTTGGGGGCCCTAACAGGGGCATTGCTGGACATAAAGCTCTAATGGGGCACAGCACCCCCTTCAAATATATATATATATATATATATATATATATATATATATATATATATATATATATATATATATATATATATATACATATACTGATGATCACAGAGTGCTGAACAGATCTTTTAATCCCAGTTAATTTGCGCACATATTGTCTTGTGGGTATGATTATGCACGTTACTATGGAGATAAGTTAATATGCGGCTGTCAATCAAATCAGTGTGCAGGGAAACTGCACTCCAACATCACGTTGCGGTGGGCCTCAAAATGGGAGGGAATTGGGTCCTATTTTAACATCAGGAAATTTATAAGAGACTTATTGCGTTTCTATACTCCAATTCGACAGCGAACACACTATACCTACATACAGTTCTGTCCAAACAGCTACCAAAAGATGATTTTCATCAGAGGTGCCCGTTAAAAACAACATCAGCACTATTTAATTGACTGTGAACAATGTACTTCAATAGTCATTGGCTCCTAATATGATTCCCTTATAGAGAATGTACAAATTGGAAGGTGAAAAGTCCAAATGTGCGAATATAAAAATCAACTTTACCTCAATCAAAAACAGCACAGTCAACAGCAGATATTTTTTTTTAGCTGTCTACAACTCAACAGTCCTGTTATTGCTAAGCGAGAGCAGTGTGAAAGCCTGTGGAAAGCCGAAAAGCGAGTTGATTCAGTACGACCTCATTTCAGCGCCGCGAGTTGCTGAGAAATGTAAACAGCCAGCATGCATGAGAGACCCCACTGTAAAAGACAGATGAAGTCTACTGGGAGCTGTTGTCTTAGCACTGCTGTCTTGCACATGCTACCAACAGTCTGTCAGGAACAGAAACACACACACACATGTATATATCACTCTTCATATATACGCTTTTATTAGGAGACCCCCAATTAAAGGTGCAAAGGAATAAACTCTGAATCTGATATAATTAACGTGGCCTGATTAGGACACTAATATTTCGTTTCAACATTCAAAGGGCTCTTAATATTTACAGCACTTGGCCCCTGAATAGGAGTCGATTCAAATCTCTGAATATTAGACTTTAAATAACAGCGAATAATCTTATAGAAGAATAAACTTATACAAGGTGCAAATCAAGTAACAGCTTGTTACTTTCTGAATAATACATCATCTGTACATCACAGTTATGTTCGGTGACAAACAATCGGTCGAGTTATAAATACACAATCGAACAAAATGCATGGAGAAAACTTAGTTACAGCATTTTCGTTAGCCTGTGCTGGATCGACACCCCTTTAGATGTACGACAACAACAAAAAGAAAATAAAAAATGCATCTCCTTATTTACAGTTGCGATTCTCTTCACAGCTCAATTCCCAAAGGTAAAACACTGCAAGAGAGTGACACGAACAACACAACGTGACCGTCGACAGCTGGTCACTTCTGCTGCCGCTCGCTCACTCACTCGCAGTGCTTATGTTGTGTAACGTACCACATCAAGTACTTTCTTTCACTCTAAACCAATGTTTATAAATAAAATATAATAAAAAAAAAAACAACATCAACAGCAGATTTAACGACCTCCGAATGGCTCAGCAGTGATTCTGTTAGTAAAATTGATAATTTCATTAGCTATTATACATGAACAAGCTGACTAAGAGAATAAATATATTGTTGATTTGTGAATTATTGTAATATTTGCTTGACCTGTAGGATCATTTGAGTGTCCTCTATATAGTAGCTATCCCAAACGCATTTGAGTAAACATTTATACATACAGTACCTGACAAAAGTCTTGTGAGAGCAAGAAATAATAACTTGACTTCTAGTTGATCATTTGGAAAAGCGGCAGAAGGTCAATTTTTTTCGATGAATCATCTGTTGAACTGCATCTCAATCATCACAAATACTGGAGAAGACCTATTGGAACCTGCATGGACCCAAGATTCTCACAGAAATCAGTCAAGTTTGGTGAAGGAAAAGTCATGGTTTGGGGTTACATTCAGTATGGGGGTGTTTGAGATATCTGCAGAGCGGATGGCAACATCAACAGCCTGAGGTCTTTGCCTTTCATATAAGCCACTTCTGATACCAAATGATCAACTAGAAGTCAAGTTATTATTTGTTGTTCCTAAAACTTGGATAGTTGACAAGACTTTTGTGAGGTAGCATTTATACATTCCATCCATGGTCTGTTGAAATTCTTGTTGACTGGCTGAAAGATGTGCAATAAAATCTAATGTCACAGGTAGCTCCAGTCAGCTTTGATCACAGTTCAAGATAAATGTGCTGTCCTCATACATAAGTAGTAACTATTGTCACTCAGTGACAGTTGCCGGAATCTCCATTCATTTTTGTAATCTCGTGGACACCAACAACTTCCCCAGAAGCTGATGAGGAATAACCAACTCTCAAATATGCTCAAAATATTTGCAAAGAGGTAGCTAACACATGTTACTATGAGCTGTTATTAGATATGCCTGTGTCATATGCACACATACAATCCCTCTCTCTTCTGCACAGGCTCTGTATACCTGTGACTGCTGATTCAAAGCGGAAACTAGGAGATCTAACATGTCACAACTGATGACAATTCTGTCAAATATTGCACTGCAATGAGCAAAACTAGTTTAAATTTGTCTAGAACTTAGCAAATAACTAAGGAATAAGCGGGATAAGCAATGGCGATTCACGTCAGGTAGTTTTTTGCCTCCGCATCATGCATTTAAATGCACGAAACATTGTTTATCACACATAAAGTCATATACAGTATATATAGTAGAAGTCAGAATTATTAGCCTCCCTTTGAATTTATTTACTTTTTAAAAATATTTTCCAAATGATGTTTAACAGAGCAAGGAAATTTTCACAGTGTGTCTGATAATATTTTTTTCTTCTGGAGAAAGTCTTATTTGTTTTATTTCTGCTAGAATAAAAGCAGTTTTTAGTTTTTTAAAAAACATTTTAAGGTCAAAATGATTAGCCCCGTTGAGCTATATTTTTTTCTTGATAGTCGACAGAACAAACCATCGTCATACAATAACTTGCCTGATTACCCTGACCTGCCTAGTTCACCTAATTAACTTATTTAAGGCTTTAAATGTCACTTTAAGCTGTCTTGAAAAATATCTAGTGAAATATGATGTGCTGTCATCATGACAAATGGTAAAGATAAAATAAATCAGTTATTAGAAAAGAGTTATTAAAACTATTATGTTTGGAAATGTGTTGAAATAAATCTTTTTTTTCCCGTTAAACAGGGAGCTAATAGTTCTGACTATATATAATACATAGTGTACAAGTTGATGATTTGATTGATTTTATACTTCACATTTTGAATAGGACAAAAAAAGCTACAACCAAAACCAAAAAATTTTCAAGAATTTCAGTATTTCTCAGTATTTTGTCTGTTTTTTTTCTTAAAATATCAGAATGTTCTTAAATCATTATGCTTATATTTATATGTATTGCATCATATTGGGAAAAAAAAGATAAATCAATCTGTGATTGAAGTAAGAAACACTTAATACAAAGCGAAAACAAGATTTTTTTTCTGGCCCATGCATAAAGCACCTTCCTCCCATTTTTTTGTTTTCCTTTTTAGCATAAACTCACTTTATTTTCATGTATTTTTTTCAGAAACAAGACTAATTTACCCAAAAAGGAAACATTTTTCATGATTTACTCATCCCTGACTTGTTCCAAACCTGTTAGAGTTTCTTTCTTTTGTTGAACACAAAATAAGATATTATGGAAAATGTTGGAGGGAAGCAGCCATTGACTTCCATCCTATGCTTTGTTTCCACCATGGATGTCATTTGCTGCTTTTTTAGCCATTATTCAGAACTTGTTTGATGTTGAACAGATAAAAAGAAATTCAAACTGGTTTACAACAAATAGAGGATGAGTTTAGAACCACTTGATTGTAAATAAATAATGAATACATTTGTATTCAATCCCTTTAGGGGCCAGAATTCTGAAGTAATCCATCGGATGTGGATAGATTTATGAGAGAACTAAAAAACATAAGCGCGGTTAATTTTCATCCTAATGTCACCTAAATCAGTGTAAATTAGGTTTTAATCAAGCAAAATGTGTGCATGTGTAATCTAACACCAGCAGTAATAGTGGAAAACAAGACAAAAACTACAAAATAAGACAATAATTTCTACAGTTTATCAGTGCACTTGTCCCATAACTGAACAGTTGAGTCCCATTGGGACGTCCTGTTTTGGTAGCTGAATGGTGGAGGGCTTGCCTTTACTGCAGTGGTCCTGTAATGCCCCATCATGTCTGATGTTAGTGATATACTGTTCCCCACACCTCTTGAATCTTCTTGCACCATTTGTCTGCGTTCCCACTGGGATCCATTAGATAATATGTCCTGTTTGGCTGCATTCAAAGAAATCAAAGAAAGAAGTTAGCAAAGCCTCTGTGTTGTTATTATCTATTCTTTTTGTTGTAGTAAAAAAAAAAAGTTGGCTACATAGTAATTATTAGGCTTTTCACACTTTACAAAGTTAACGATGGGTCATTTGAAACCTCAGGTAAACAAAATCCTGAGATCCTGTTTCATGGTTTTCCTACTCAAAACTACCAGTTAATCTGGATTTTCCACACGGATTGACACAATATGATATAAACACTGGGTTAACGTCATTGTTTGAATATCTGCAGTGTCATTGTTTGCTTTTAGGATTCCAAAAGATATATGCTTAAAGTGCTAATCAATAACTGGGTTTCCATCAGTGTGTTAATGCACATTTTGAAGTACTGCAGAGAAGAGAAATGAGAGATGGAAATGCCAAAATCAGAATAAAAGATCTCTTCATTTGCAATAATATTAATAATAATAATAATAATAATAATAATAATAATAATAATAATAATAATAATGCTCCCTTGAAGTGTTCATTCAATAACTTTCCTTCGGCTAAGTATGGAAAGCATCGTCAATGCACCATGATGCACAGAGATTTCGAATTGAACTGAATCGATGATATCATGATAATCATAACCAAACCAAACCAAACCATGAGATCAGTGTAGGTTCACACCTCTAATATTTACCCTTGAGGTATTAATATGGAACTTTTAGGTACAAATTTGTACCTTTCGAAAAGGTAGCACCCCAGGGACAGCTCGCTTGCCTTTATTTCTGAGAGTATACTGAGAGAAGAGCGTTTCTACAGGTGGTTTGTCAGGCCCACTCACCTGTGTGAAGCCCAATTAAAGACAAAATGATGCAAAAAGGTGTATGGTGACAGGCTCATATTTCCTACAAAAACCTACCAGCATCACTCAAATGAGAAGACATTAATACACTGTGAATTGGTATAAAGGAGACAGTTTTGAACATTGGCTGTTTATGTACTCACTGAATTTTAGATCATACTTAACTAAAACAAAGTTAAAGATTGTAGCTTTAAATATAGCTTAATTTGATTACAAGAGTATTGTTTACTGTTCTTGCCATATTCCTTGTTTATTACAAAACCAACTTCCTCCAAGCATACAAAATCTGTGGAAACCCAGATCCAGTTTGATGCATTTATCAAATATTATTTACCATGAAAATTGATTTAAAACCATGACTAAACTGCTAGAGAAGATGAGTGTTACACAAATAATATGCAATGAGGAAACTATAAGTATATCAGTATTTTACCGTGTGGACAAAAAACGTCTTGAAATTCTTGGCCTCAGGACGCAATTCTGGAGACCACGGAATTTCCCCCTTTAGTACTTTATTAACAGGATCCACATAATACAGATGCGGTCCTTCAGTTAGTAAAAGCTGACGGCGTCGAGCAAACAGCCCCTGTGACAACAACAAACAAGAAAAAAGCTGTTATTACCAACTGCAGTCAAAAGAGGGCGCTATTTATTTACTCACTCGACTCTTTAAAGAAATCAAGCAGTCATGCACCTGTTTTTGACTCTAGATATGAGAGACAAAGAAAAAAAAAACGTTACCTTTCTTTTGTCAACTGGTCCCATTTTATATATCAAGTTATTTTCGACAAACTGGTGCCTTGAAGACAGAAAAAAAAGACATGTTAATGAATAACAAGCCAGCAGTTAGTGGCACTTGTGTTGTTGACCGATTGAAAACAGAACTATAATGATCAAGAGTTCCTTTTACAACATGCTATAAAAAGCTAACAGGAAATGTGAGAGATAAAGAGATCATTATTAGCACATACGCGCATGCACGCGCCCCATTACTGTGTACAATAACAAAATGTGCTGTCACTACAAGATGACCCTGCTGAAGAAAAACATACAAACAATAGAAACCATCATATATTTATATAGGTTATGATGGAGGTATATTGGTCTATACTGAAAATATTTTGCACTTTATTGGTGTCATTAAAGAAATATTTCAGCCAAACATTTCATTTTCTCTTTATAACACAAAAGATGTTTTGAAGAATGCTGGAAACTGAAGCAACTGAAATCCATAGTAAGATTAAGAAAAATAAATATTATTGAAGTCAAATGCCACTGGTTTCCAAATTTGTTTTTGTGTTTAACAAAAAAAAAAAAAAAAAAAACTCAGTAAGTAAAAAATGACAGAATTTCATTTTTTCGGGGGGTGAACTATCAATTTTTAACCAATAAATATGACTCAAGACAAAAAATAAAACATTATAATGAGTAATGTGTTCAAGTTTGAAGGTTTGTAAGGTTTCCAATGGTATTTGTAGTGAAAATCATAAGAAGTTCTATGATGGTCTGTTGTTTTAGCAGAGGACTGTTTAATATTAAACCAGAATGAATAAAAACAAATTTGTGAATGAAGCTGATAACACACCAGGGGTTGCCGCTTGTTTGCTTTTGCAGGAGTAGTCGTTTCTCCTCGCTGGAGAACTGCAGGTCCAGCTCAAAGGAGTTGCTGTCCAGGTCGTGGATGTACTGCTCGATGTTGCTGCAGGGTCTGGGTGGGACGATCTGCGCTGAGCTGGAGGGAACCACCTGCAGGCTGCTGAACTGACTGAGGAGATCTTCATACTGTGGGAATGAAACAAGCAATTGAGTAATGCACAGTAACAAAACCCTGAAAGCCGGTTCACAATTTTTATTCATAAATAGGAGAAAGGGCTTTTAAATAGATCTCCTCACCATCACTAGCACACAGTAGGCTGATAGTTGGAGAGGTGTAAGTTCTAGTAAGATCATTGATTAATTGTGAGACTAATTATGTGTGCTGTTTTAATAAGTTTAATAGGTCTGTTTTAATAAGTTTTTTTTTAACATTGTGTGTATCTTGCAAATGAAACAAACAAAACAAAGTGACAAAAAAACACAACAAAAGCAAACACGGCTGCATCAAAAATAAACAAATCAAAACTATAACAAACACAACAGTAAACTAACAAACAAAAAGGTAAACAAAAAACACAAAAGCAAAAAAAAAATTATAAAAAAAGCAAACACGGATGCATAAAAATAAACAAAACTGTAACAAACACAACAGTAAACTAACAAGTAAAGTTAAACAAAAGCAAACACAGCTGCAATAAAAATAAACAAGACAAAACTATAACAAACACAATAGTAAACTAATAAACAAAAGGTTAAACAAAAATAACCACCAATCTAAAAAACACAAAAGCAAACACAGCTGCAACAAAAACAAACAGGACAAAACAATAATAAACACAATAAACTAAAGATTTAAAACTACAACTAAATAAAAAACACAACTAAAGCAAACACAGCTGCATCAAAAATAAACAAAACTATAACAAACACTACAGTGAACTAACAAACAAAAGGTTAAACAAAGAACGCAACAAAAGCAAACACAGCTGCAACACAAATAAACAAGACAACAAACACAGCAGTAAACTAATAAGCAAAAGATTAAACAAAAAACAACAAACTAAAAAAACACAACAAAAGCAAACACAGCTGCATCAATAATCTACAAAACAAAACTATAACAAACCCAACAGTAAACAAACAAACAAAAGATTAAACAAAAAACAACAAAAGCAATAAGCAAACACAGCTGCAACAACAATAAACAAAACAAAATTATAACAAACACAACAGTTAACTAACAAGCCAACTATTTAACAAAATCACAACTAAAGAAAACACATCTAAATAAAAAAAACACAACTGCATGAATAAATCAACAAACAAAAACACAACAAACACCTCAGCAAACTGACAAATGAAACCTTAAACAACGTAAGTTCTAGTAAGATCGCTGATTAATCGTAAGACTAGCTGTGTGCTAATAGTAAATAGTTATTTTTTAATAATCTTGTATTTTGTGAATGAAACAAAAAACTAAAATGATCAATAAAACACTAAACAACAAATAAAATAGAAAAAAATAAACATCTTGTATCTTGCAAAAAAAATCAAACACAAAAAACTGATAAAAACACTCAAAAACAAATAAAATTGAAAAAAATAAGTATCTTATATCTTGCAAATAAAACAATACACAAAACAAACTGATAAATAAAACAGTAAACAACAAATTAAAAAGAAAAAAACAACAAAAAAATAAAAACAAAAAGCAACAAACATTAAGGCAAAAAACTAAAGGCACCAAAAATAAAGCAAACAACTTCGTCAAAAATAAACAAACAAAACTATAGAAAACACAACAGTAAACTAACAAACAGAAGGTTAAAAGCAAAGCAAAAACAAAACATGCAAAAAAAAAAACATAACACAAAAAGAAAATTGCAACAAACACCACAGCAAAAAATGTAACAAAACAAAAACAAAACAAGATTTTTTTTAAAGATGCAGCAAAAAAACTGCAAAAATACAAAACAATAGTAAAAACACAACACACAAAATAAACAAATAAACAAAATCATACAACCAAAAATAAAAACATTCAAAATAGAAAAAGCAAAAATGCACACAAACCGCTAAATAAAATGCAATAAAATAAAATAAAATGCAATAAAATAAATTAAATAAGCATTTCAAAATGATAATAAAAAAAAAAATCAACCAGATACATAATGCTAAATATTTAAATTTTAGCACAGTTTGGGAATAACGGGTCTGATAAATTGAACTAACATTGCCATAGTAGTCTTCATCATCCTCAGCCATGGCTGGCAGGTAAGGGGTCAGTTTGGGTGGAGTCTGAAGCGGCAGGTTCTCCCATGAGACAGTCTCAAAGAACATGTGGCCTTTCAGCGGACCGAACCCTCCCATTTCCTCACATCCCAGCCGCTTTCTAGGGTCCAAAGACTGAAAGACACAGGAAAAAACAATGAATCTCCTTCAACACCACCATGCAAAACAAACCGAAAGCATGTATCATGAAAACAAACATGATTACCAACAGACGCTGGACCAGATCTTTAGCTTTTGGGAAGAACTTCTCAGGGAATTCATATTCCAGCTTTATTATCTTCTGGAAAATCAAGTACTCGTTCCTATTAAAAGATAAAAGTAAATGACTAACAGTAGTGAATCAATACCAGCTTTCACTGTTTTTACACAGCTCGAGACAAACAACGGGTGAAATTTAGTCACGTGGCGGAGTGTTTTGTTTTCAACGGTCGTCCAGGCCAGTATATTGGTTGTAATGTAACTAAAAACGACAGGCGGGTCATGTGACCCGGTGGTTGGGGTTTCCTCAGAAGCCCTCTGTACTGTCTACACAAACAAGTCATAAACACCAAAGCCAACACTTCCTGTTATTTCACACCATGTTTTCAAAAACTGCAATTACAACCAGTGATCAACCACCAGCTCTTCAGCTACAGTGCAGAATGCCATCGTGACATATTTCACAATGTTTGATTGAACCAAAACCCAAGTGATCAGTAACTCACCCAGCTCTAAACGGAGGTAATCCAGCAACCAGCTGGTAGATTATGCAACCCATTGCCCACAGATCTGAACTAAAAGAGAAACAGCCATAAAAAAAAGAATGCATTTAATTTCAATCCGTCCCAAACTGCTAATATTTAACTGTAAACATTAGAAACCTTTTGCAGGCGGATTTTTCAGTCAGCAGCTCTGGAGAAACATACTGTGCGGTGCCAACGAAAGAATTGGCTCTAGCTGTAAAAACAAACGTAGACATGACATATCATACGAAGACGCAGACAAATAAAAATCAAAAAATGATAGGCTGGCCCATATTTATAGTGTTCAAGAAGTGCTGTCAGTGTATCTATAGATAACAAACATGTCATGCCTGACCTACAAGGGGGTTGATGGAAAAAAAAAGAAAACAACTAGAGCAAAGAAATTCTATGAAATAATCAGTAAGCGTGCATTACTTTGAGCGCTGTCCGATGAAAGCTGTTTCGCTGTCCCGAAATCCGTAATCTGAATGTGCATGTCTTCGCAGAGCAAAATATTCTCTGGCTTGAGGTCCCTAAAATATATTGATATATATATATACAGCATATTAAAAAAATGGCAACACTTAAATCGAAGTACCAATTCTCACTATTAACTACTGTTTCACTATTATTAAGATATTGCTTGTTTATTTGTACTGTAGGACTTTCCAGTATTGTTTGCATATGTATACTATTAAAGATAGATGTTATTATGCTTCAGGGTATTTGAAGAACAAATAAAAGTATGCATATTTGCCATGTTAGTTTAAATGCAGGCACATTTATGTTGTTTTTTTCATATACAGCTGAAGTAAGAATTATGAGCCCCCCTTTGATTTTTTTTTTCTTTCTTTTTTTAAACATTTCCCACATGATGTTTAACAGAGCTGGGAAATGTTCACAGTATGTCTGATAATATTTTTCCCTCTGGAGAAAGTCTTATTTGTTTTATTTCGGCTAGAATAAAAGCAGTTATTTTTTTAAAAACAATTTTAAGGTTATAAGGTTAAGGTAATAAGTTTATTATTTAAGATTATTAGCCCCTTTAAGCTTTTTTTTTTTCCAGATAGTCTACAGAACAAACCATCGTTATACAATGACTTGACTAATTACCCTAACTTGCCAAGTTAATTAACCTAGTGAAGCCTTTAAATGTCACTTAAAGCTGTAGCCGGCCTGAATTATTAGCCCCCGTTTATTTTTTTCTTCAATTTCTGTTTAACGGAGAGAAGATTTTTCAACACATTTCTAAACATAATAGTTTTAATAACTCATCTCTAATAACTAATTTATTTTATCTTTGCCATGATGACAGTAAACAATATTTGACTAGATATTTTTTCAAGACACTTCTATACAGCTTAACTGGGTTATTTAAGTCAACTAGGCAGGTTAGGGTAATAATTAAGCAAGTTATTGTATGATGATGGTTTGTTCAGTAGACTTTCGAAAAAATAAATAGCTTAAAGGGGCTATTAATTTTGACCTTTTGACCGTTTTTTTTTTTTTTTTCTAGCCGAAATAAAACAAATAAAACTTTCTCTGGAAGAAAAAATATTATCGGACATGCTGTGAAAATTTCCTTGCCCTGTTAAACATCATGTGGGAAATATTTAAAAATGAAAAAAAAACAAAACAAATTTTTATATAAAAATTTTAAAATAAATAGAGATGTCAAACCAAAGAACAAAAAACTGTGCAGGTCATGTGCTTCAAAGAGGGCTTTAGTCAAATGATCTTGAATGAGTTCCTTCAACTAAATAAAGTTTAACGTAATTTTCCATTTAAAATTAGCATATAGCGTCAAACCAGGATTTGAGTGAAAAATTGTATGAAGTACTATGTTTTTAGAAATGTATACTATGGATGAAAAAAATGATTGGCATTTTAATAAAATAGCCATGTGTTATTTATTAATGTTTTTACAATGTTCTTTTTAATTGAAAAGAGCAGTAATTTATTGAACTATCATTGAGACAGACACACCATAGGACAGTTTTAAGACTTGGCCCAAAAAAATTATATATATATATATATATACATACACATACGCACACACACACAGGAAGCTGCTGTATTAATAAATTTTTTGGGCAAAGCCTCAAAACACACCTATGGTGTGTCTATATATATATATATATATATATATATATATATATATATATATATATATATAGACAGACACACCATATATATATATATATATATATATATATATATATATATATATATATATATATATATATATATAAATATATATATATATATATATATATATATATATAAATCATGGGGAGCAGAGAGAAAGTGGAAGGATCTTTGGAGCCATGACTCGGACTCGGGTCTCCGTAAAGCACCTCACTAACCACTAAGCTATTGGCGCCAACAAAACACAGCCATTTTTATAACTAGACGTCCAAGGAAGGTAAGAAATGTTTAATGATTTACTGCATTTTAAATAATGAAAATACTAATTATGTTTATTTTTGGCATGTGTGACAGGGAATATGCAAAGTCACGTCAACAACCCACATATTCAGCATTATATTATTCTACATCCCTAATCCTACCCAATACCTAAACCAAAGTCAGCCCTGGAGGACTGTGTCCTGCAAAGTTTAGTTCCATACCCAATCAGACACACCTGGGCTAGCTACTCTTACTAGGCTTTCTAGAAACAGCGGGTGTGTTGAGGTAAGTTGGAGGTAAAATCTGCAGGACATCGGCCCTCCAGGACCAAGTTTAAACTTTTAATAAGCAGCAAATTAGAAGGGTATTGAAGCAAATGTCACAGTTACTGGTTTGTTAATAGCAAGAATTGTATCTTTAATAAAGTGTGATCAAAAAATAACAAAAAACAAATATTAATTATGCATTAAATATTCCAAGTCATATTATTAGTCGAAAGAGTCATTACCTGTGGATAATCCCCACTGTGTGCAAATACTCGAGTGCACAAACTATCTCAGCAGTGTAGAATCTTGTGCAAGTCTCATCAAATGAGCCGATTTTGCGAATGTATCTAAGCAGTTCTCCATTCTTTGCATAACTGAGGGCAAAATCTGACGGGATTAGAAGTTAAGAACCGTTTAACAACGTAATAATGAGTTTACCAAACACACTTGATTTCCATTTCACAGCTCAACACCACCGTTTTACAGTGAAAAGGATACATAACTTCTGCGAATCTTGAAATGTGAAGAAGAGCTTTACAAAAAAGGGATGATCTATGCATGATAATATATCCTTCTCTCTGATCACATAGTGTGCTTTATTCTCTTTTCTGATGTGATTCTTCTCGAGAATCTTCACTGAAAAACACATTTTAAATGACACCAGTTAGTTTAATAATATAATATAATATAATATAATATAATATAATATAATATAATATAATATAATATAATATAATATAATATAATATAATATAATATAATATAATATAATATAATATAATACATACTTGCATATTCTTTTCCGGTGGCCAGCTCTTTTGCAAGCACGACCTGCAAACAACATAAACACACTGCTAGTCAACTACCAAAAATGTCTATCTACTATACATTTGTCCACAATCTCTATATATTCTGACTCTAGCTTATTAAACAGTCAATTTTCAATCGTTCTCTTTTTCATTTTTGGCAATGTGCTTTGATATCCAGGCTACTGAACCTGAAATGTGAGTAGCAAACACAACAAATCAATAAAGCCAACACAACTTCTGCTGATCATCTATTAAAAATATATACATTTACAAATACTATATTTAGACCACTAATGATTCAATTGTAAACATTTTATTGCAAAATAATTACCTGGGCTTCTAAAACTGAAAATTCATATCTTTTATTACCAGTTAGACATATACAAAAACTAGTTATTTTAAAAATATTTTATTGCAAGATAATTTGAAATTTGTGTAACTTAAACTTGCAAAAGTTTTAATCAACGAAGTGCCCCCACAAGTCGATTTAATTACTATATAATAGACCATAGTTAATTAAACTTTTATAAATAATTTAAAACCTGGGCTACTGAAACTCAAATGCGCAAATATTCCAACAAATCAATGAAACCAATGTAACAACAGCAAATAAAATTCTAAAACATCTGTCACAATACTATACTATACTATACTATACGGTCACACTTTACAATAAGGTTCATTAGTTAATGTTAATTAATGCATTTACTAACATGAACAAATAATGAACAGCATATCTACTACAGTATTTGTTCATGTTAGTTAACGTTCGTTAAAGAAAATACAGTAGTTCATTATTAGTTCATGTTAACTCATGGTGCATTAACTAATGTTAACAAGCACAGACTTGAATGTTAATAATGCATTAGTAAATGTTCAATTAGGATTAATAAATGCTGTACATGTGTTGTTCATGATTAGTTCATGTTAGTAAATGCATTAACTAATGAACCTTATTGTAAAGTGTTACCTACTATACTATATTATACTATACTATATTATACTATACTATACTATACTATACTATACTATACTATACTATACTATACTATACTATACTATACATTTGTCAAAATATTAGCTATACCACACATATTAATGTTTTTATCGAATTAATTTTTGATACCAAGGCCACTGAAACTTAAAATGTATGAACAAACAAAAGATTTGCCCAAATGCTATATTTAATTCACATATTATTGATTTTTTAACTTTTAATTGCAAGATAATTTGTTAATTAAACTACCAAACATATCTGTTCACTGACTATACTTAATACTATACTATACTATACTATACTATACTATACTATACTATACTGCACATATGTCCAAATACTATATTTAGACCATAAATAATCAGTCACGGATGATTTCATTATATGAATTAAATGCAAGGTCAACACTGCACAACATTTTGAACATGCTCGAAAACTCACAAAAGTTTGCACACACACACCAGAATTGGAAAAAAATGTATGTTTGATATGGGTTTCAGAAGAGGGTGTGGCGAAAGGGCTCGACAGCACCACTTATAAACAATCAACGAAGTGGCCCATGAGACAAATCAATTTCTAGGGCTACTGAAACTTAAAAGTGTTCGTTTAATCCCAACATATCGATGAAACCAAAGTAACAACAGCAAATCAACTACCAGAATGTCACTTTACTATACTGTACTGTACTTTACTACACTATACTATACTGTACTTTACTGTACATCTGTCCAAATATTATATTTAGACCATAAATAATCAATCACAGATGATTTCATTATATTAATTAAATGCGAGGTCCCTTTCATTGCTGCTTGCAGCTTTAATTATTTTTGTTTGTTCTGAAATAAATCAAATTTTGAGAGTCTGAACATGCAAAGAAACTCATAAAAGTTTGCACACACACCAGAAGTGGCAAAAATTTACGTTTGATATGGGGTTCAGAAGTGGGTGTGGCAAACAGGCTCATTATATACTATACTATACTATACTATACTATACTATACTATACTATACTATACTATACTATACTATACTATACATCTGTCTAAATACTATATTTACAGCATAAATAATTAATCATAGATGATTTAATTACATCAATTAAATGCGAGGTCCCTTTCATTGCTGCTTGCAGCATTAATTATTATTATTTTGTTCTGGAAAGAATCACATTTTTGAGAGTCTGAACAAATAAATGAAACCAAACTTACAACAGCAAATCAACTACTAATAATAGCTGTCAGTTTACAATACATCTCTCCATGTATGTTTTTGTTTCATAATATCTGCTACCTGGGCTATTGAAAACAGCAAAATCACCCACCGTTGAAAAGGAGCCCTCTCCTAAAATTTTGCCAAAGCTGAAGTCCTCCTTCTTGAATGATTGCGGAGGCTTGAGAGCAGGCGTGCTGGACTCCCCCCCACGGACCTCCATGCCGAGATGCTGAGGAAGCCTGGAGTTCAGCTGAGTCCTTACCATTGATGAAGAAGCACAGGAACGCAACGCCACGCTAGGCTGGATGAGAGCAGCATCGTACTGAACGAGCAAAACACACACACACACACAAAGCAAACATGACACAGAGTCAGACATGCGGGTGCGTGTGCAATGAGGAACCAAACCACCTTAGAAGCAGTAAAACCAGCAGCTGATAAAGTACAGTAGAGCTTCCGCAGAGGGGAGGGCTGTTTGTGTTCAGCCAGGATTACGAGTACTCAAATTCATTCACTCAGACCTGCCTTTGTTTACGCTGCAGAGAGCGCAAAATATTTACCCTGTCGAAGTGACAAAAACATCTTTTTTTTTTTCTTTTTGTGCACAACAGTTTCAGTTAAGTGTAACCACAATTCTGAAGCTAACCACATGTACAGTAGCTGAATGAAAATGTTGAGGTGAGGGACTGTTTAAAGGTGCACCACTTGTTAAAATACTTGAATAAAGATGAATTGAAAGTTATATTCAGAATTGAGATTTGTTATACAGTGCTCAGCATATACGAGTACACCGCTCACAAATATGTCTTTTAAATTCACATTTTTAATAGGAAGATATACAATATTATATCTCTGTATATACATTAGTCAGTACTGGAGCCAAATCTGGAGCTTATCTAGCAAAATAACTTACAATAACGGTCCAAAAAATAGTACAGCCAAATTTATATATTATAGAAAAATATTAAATACAAATTTTAAAAAGAGGAAATATCAAGAGAATAAAAAAAAAATATTTAAAATTTAGTTGATTTTTTTTTTGCAATATTAAGCATGAATTTAATTATATTATATTTTAATTTCTAAATATGTTCATTAAATATTAAATGAATAATTAATGATTGATAAAATATTATTTTAATAAATATATCCGTTTTATACATCTGTTTTGTTTAAATGCCCCAAAAATGCATTGTCAATTTCACAGAAAAATAGAGAAAAATATATTTTTTTCAAAAAGGGATGTTTCCCAGAGATGGGTTGCAGCTGGAAGGGCATCTGCTGCGTAAAAACTTGCTGGATAAGTTGGCGGTTCATTCCGCTGTGGCGACCCCGGATAAATAAAGGGATTAAGCCGTCAAGAAAATGAATGAATGAATGAAAACTGGGTGTACTCAATTATGCTAAGCACTTTACAGGGTTAATAAGAATAATAAAGGGGTTTTATCACCATCTATGATACAATAAAGAACTTTTAACATCAAACATGTCAATGAACAATAGGTACTTGTTATTAAATGTCCTCCAGATTTTTTAAAATATTTTTTTTTACAAATTAAGTTTCTTTATGCCTTTTTTTCCCTTTGCCCCAATAAAAGTGGTTGCTTAAAAAACACTATTCCCCCTTGATTAAAACAGGGTTTCTTTCAAAATAATTGTTAACCAAAAAAGATTGAATGGAACCTTTTTGTTTAACAACAACAATAACAACAACAAAACCTCAAGAGTGAAAAAAAATAAAAATTAAGGGAATGAAAAATGGCTTATAATAAAATAAAAATACACTTAAAAATTAACAATCACTGTTGCCTCACAGCAAGAAGGTCGGTGTTTCGAGTCAGTGTACTCAATTACGCTAAGCAATTTAAGTAGCCTAGCTGTTTTTTCTGCAACACTATATTACAAAGTATTTTATGTTCAATTCAATTCACACACATTATATATATAGCAGCACACAAAAACACATTATATTATATATAAACAGCACAAAAACATGTCTAATGTGTTAATAAGACCCTAAGTGTCATTTAAAATACAATGTATTTATGTATCACCTGAATGCTGAATTAACAAGCTTTTTAGAACTGAAGGTTTAAAAAACATAATCAAAAGAATCTACGAACTTCTTTGCAATGTATATTACTTCACTTATTATTCCTGTAATTGTTATTAAATTAAAGGAAAATCAATCATTGTGATTCACAATGTATCTTGGCAAAAAAAAAAAAAAAAAAAAAAAAACCTAGAGCAGGTTCACACATTAGTATTACCACAATGTTGACATATTAGGCTGCAAAAATGGTTACCTTAACAGCTACAATACCAAAACATACATTGTTGTATAAATAAATATTCAGAGTAAACAACCGTTTCATACCATTTATTGAAAACCTCTTGACTCAAAGTAGGTTTGTCTTAATAACTTGATATTTAGCATTAAAAAAAAATCTATGTCCTTATGGAGTAACAAAATGGAATATTTTTTATTTATTTATTTTTTTTTTTGGTGGTGGTGGTGGGAAGGGGGTGGTAGCAGTCTATAGAAACTGGTTTATTTAACATGCAACTAATCGCCTCAAGGGGGCAGACATTTCATGATTATTACATGATCAGCAATAGTTTCACTTTTATAATCAACCCAACTATTGGATCCTAAAGATAGATTGCAGCAGAGCCTATATGTCAGATTGGGGTTTTATTTTTATATAATATAATATAATATAATATAATATAATATAATATAATATAATATAATATAATATAATATAATATAATATAATAGAATAGAATAGAATAGAATAGAATAGAATAGAATAGAATAGAATGGCTGTTTTTCCCTACATGACAAATAGCTCACGCCTCAGAGCTTCAGATGACACACTCAATAATCAACTCAGTACTGAATTTAATCCCTTTTTTTGTTACATTTTTGACAGTTTATGCACAGCGCATTTATTTGATGTAATATTCTATAATGTGCATGAATGGAAACAGTGACTGTGTTAACAATTATGACTTCACTAAGAGCTGCCTCGAAAACGAGACTGATTATAATTCAACCATCCAATTAGTTGCAGCATGTTATTTATGTGTGCAGCGAGACTTATGTTGTAAGAATAAACATAGTAAAGATAAAAGGCCACGTCTATATCAGCAGAATGTCTATATCAGTTTTAGGCTTGAAGTCTAAGATAACAACCAAACCCATGCAAATAAACAAAGAGCAGTTTCCCACAGCAGGTTTATCACTCATCATTTGTTTACTATGAGAAATGTGGCAGGGGAAAAAAACTGATTCGACTAGGGTTCTGTTATTAGTGTAAAATCTGGTACTTTCCAGACACCTGTTACTTCAGGCACTTCTCCACTTTGCCAAATTCAACCACAGAAACTAAAAAGGACTGTCCCTCTAGCTTCACCTGACAAAATACATGGTATTGATGCTATTGAAGACAAAAAAATAGAAATCAGATACATACAGTTTAGACATTTTGAAAGTAAGTGCACAAAAACAAAACAAAATGGCACCAGAAAGGGTTTTCTCTCTTTCTTCTTCTTCTAATTATTTTAATTTTTCTGTTATTTTCATATTTTTGAATAACTGAATATGGAACCGGATCTAATAAAACAAGTTCATAAAGTTTAATGGATAATATTTTGATATGATTTGATGTCATTTTTTTTACATTGCTTTATTATTAACAAATTATTTTTAGTAATCAAGTATTAACATGCAACATTATTTCTGTAGCCTTTATGACAAGTTAATAACATAGATAAGAGTGGCATGAACACAATGACAAAAACAACAATAACAATTAAGTGCTGCGCCACACACCCTCACCATCCCCGAGATTAATGCCATCAAAACAGTGCCACGCTGTAATCTGATCGCACAACAGCCAGTTTTCCTGGTAATCGTATCCTAAAGCCAAATTAGAAAGTAAAATTTTAAAAGAGTCAACAAATGCCCTGACGCAGTAGACATGTCATCTTTAACAGCTGGTATAGGTGAAAATAGTGGCACTGTGTGCATGAGGGCAAAGTGTAATGAAGGCTGATTGGACAACAAAATAAACCAAAATGCAAATGAGTTGCCGATCAGAGTCATGAAGTGCCATCACAAAGAATATACGTTCATAAAAGTCTAGGCAAAGTGCATCTGCATTTAAAAACTAAAATCATTATCATAACCAAGCACAGCTAAATTGTGAATAAGCCTATCCAGTAACAACCTATAATGTGTGTACACAATGTCTAGACTGTATGGCAAACCATTTTTACATTAAGCTATCAAACTTACAAGTATTTGTTTTGATGTAACAACTATTTATTTTAGATGCTAGACTAGAGTATATTAAATAAAGTACTAGTACATATCTGTTGGATATTCAATCATTCATTCATTTTCCTTCAGCTTAGTCCAGGGGTGGGCAAACCCGGTCCTGGAGGGCCGGTGTCCTGCATAGTTTATTTCCAACTCTAATTAAAAACACCTGAACATGCCAATCAGTGTCTTCAAGATCACTAGAAATCTATAAGCAGGTGTGTTTGATTAGAGTTGGAGTTAAACTGTGCAGGACACCGGCCCTCCAGGACCGAGTTTGCCCATCCCTAGCTTAGCCACTATTTCAGACGTCGCCACATGTTTTACGCAGCAGATGCCCTTCCAGCGGCAACCGAGTACTGGGGAACACCCATATACACTCATTCACACACGAACTATGGTCAATTTATTTTATTCAATTCAGCTATCTCACATGTCTTTGGACTGTTGGGGAAACCGGCGCACATGGAGGAACCCCATGCAAACCTGGGGAGAACATGCAAACTTGCCAGAGAAATGCCAATTGGTCCAGTCAGGACTCGAACCAGTGACCTTGGTGTGAGGCGACAGTGCTAACCACTGAGCTTTATGCCGCCCTCTGTTGGATAAACTAGTGGCAATTCATTAATTACTAGTAGTGCTCTGCAATATGATGATATATGTCATATGGACCTCCATTAACTAACATTTTATTGTGGTGGATAGGTTTGAGTGCCTGAGTGATCCTGGGAGCTATGTTGTCAGGGGTTACATACCCCTGGTAAGCAGTCCAAAGTGCAGTTTAAAAACCCTTTAGGAAACAAATAAAATCAAGGACTGTGACATTGCCCAGTGTGGTGCAGCCTGAGACTCACCCTAGAGCCTGGGGTTGGGGCTCATATGCGAGTGCCTGGTGGCCAGGTTTTATCCCCCAAAACCCGTTTAACCCAAAGAAGCAACATGGAACCATCTACTTGCAAGCCTGGCATCTGCATGAGGACCCAAAAGGGGCTGGTGCATTGTTGAATCGGGCGGTGGTTGAAGATCAGGATCACGATAACCCAATCCTTGGACACAGAAACTGGCTCTTGGGACATGGAATGTCACCTCACTGAGAGAGAGAAGGAGCCTGATCTTG